TAATGCAAGCATGTCAACACGGCACAGAGGACAAACAGATGAGCAGAAAGCAATGCGGGAGAGGAAATAAAAGTTAAAAACAAGATCAAGATCCTAAATCATGCTGCGAAGCTACAGTTAAGCATAGCAGCTAAATGCTAACATCAGTCTGCTAACACACTCATGATTTTCAACTTTTTGTGAATATTTCAAGAGCTGTTTGTTTTGTAGTGGTATGGAGTTTTTTAGGGGGTATTTTTTGCCATTATTTGATAAAAAAAATCAAGAAATCAGATGAGACAGAGAGAGTGGAGACGATGTGTATCAAAGGCCGAAATTCACTGAGGAAATAATATAAAAATATTCAGACATTTTGGCTCCAAACCGGTTTGCATTATACAAATTTAGATTTTGTAAAACAAGTGTAAAATCTTTCCCAATATTTCCTTCTCAAATCAGATGAAAGTTTTTAATTAGGAAAACGTAGTTATAGCAAAGTGTTTTGTAACTTATTGAGACAAAATAATGCAGCTACATCTTTACAGTTCAAGTGGTGAAGGACATTCAGCTACGCCTCATTGCTTTTCTTGCAGGGATGAATGGGACCTCTCACAGAGCTCTTTTTCTAATTATTCTTCATGGCTTAGTCTCTTCTGCTCACCCCTAAAGATTTGTCCAGACTCGGTTGGCATACTTTCTTTCTCTTCCCTTTAAATCACAGTTCTCATACTGTCAGTACCAAATGGCTAAAGTTCCTCAAAGGGCCCCTAAAGCTACAGCACAACAGACACTGCTCTGAGCTCCCTACCCCCCCTGACTAGAAACAAACTGGAGCATTGGATTCTTCCCCATTAGGGTCGAACACAAAGAAATCCCCCTACCAGCCCTCAATCCATAACAACACTGTTTTTCCAAGCTGTTGCCACATGCAAGACGTTCCCACAAGCAGAGCACACGGACCTGATTAACTGCAGGTCATTGACCACGCTAAGCTGCCCCAAACAGACTTAAACTGCCTCTGTTTCCCACCTTTTTTTTTTTAATTGCCTCTCTAGCCTCAACCACATTTCTTGTTTTGCTACCTGCATGGTTTTAATATCCAAACCCAACAAGTGAGCACAAGTCTGCAAGTGTGGGCCAATCCCCAGTTTACATTTCACATGCACATTTTGATACACTATACGCCCCTGAAAGCCTATTCATAGGGATATAAATAGAGGGATGGGCATGGGTGATTCTTCAGGCGAGAGAGATGAATCGTGTTTTCTTTTCATCGTCTCCTGCTGAAAATCTGGTTGACATCCACTTCATCAGATGGTCAAAGCCCTGCCTGCCGACTGGCTAGCGACCAGGCTGATGTGCTTTTAATGCAAGCATGTCAACACGGCACAGAGGACAAACAGACGAGCAGAAAGCAATGCGGGAGAGGAAATAAAAGTTAAAAAACAAGATCAAGATCCTAAATCATGCTGCGAAGCTACACTTAAGCATAGCAGCTAAATGCTAACATCAGTCTGCTAACACACTCATGATGGCAACTTAAAATGTTCATCATGGTTTCCAAAATGAAGCACGCTATTATGTTCACAATGACAATGTTATGTTCGCAGCTCTAATGTTTACCATGTTAGCTTAGCATGTTAGCATGCATTTGCTAATTGGGCGTAAACAGAATTAGTTTTGCAGGTATGTGCTCATAAAAAACAAACAAAGTATTGGACAGATTCAGATTTTGACCCTAATGATGATGCTATATTTAAATCTAAGGGATTACAATTCATCCTGTGGGACTTGTTGAGACATCTTACTTAAAAATACGAATGTGAACCTATTTGTGGCACTGGGGGAAACGTAAGAGGATCACCAAACTCATTAGGATTCATCATCTGTTAAATGTTGACCTGCTGGTGGATCAGTGTTTCTTCCATTTTACACCACAGTACCAACCTCAGAAAATATTAGCCTCTCCATAAACCACCATTATGATGACATTTAAATACAGCAGCGTAGGCCGACTCAATTCAGCTGCACAGTTTGTGCATGGAGGCAGCTTTATTCCTAATAAGAAGATTATCTATTGTTAATTGTTGTTGAATCCTGAACTGAACCGGTTCCAGAGCTAAAACTGGTGAAAAAGGAGGCTACTCCTGGTCCACACTTCTCTTCCCAATAGTTCCCGTTTGCAGCCACAATTGCAGAACCATTAACCATTATTTTGTACCTCTGCTTACTATCTTGCTATCACATTTCAGCTCGTAACTAATCATGAATGTATGCGTGGGCTACGTGCATGAATGCGACTACATAGCAGGCTGATCTTGGAACAAGAAATTACAGGATATTGATAGTTTAATATGTTTTTAATTAAGAGATTAAGAGATTCCTCTGCGTACTACTAGAGGCAGCCATAGTTTGAGAACCAGCGATCTAGATTTAAAAGTCAGGTAGTCATCGAAGTTATTAGAATTCATCATCTGGGAACATAAATGTGTGTATAGCAAATCCATCCAACATATATGTGAACAATTGGCAAAAAAAGGGGCTGGATCAGCCGTATAAAAAACAATAAACATTCAAAATCAATCCCATAAGGGACTATTTTCCTCGAGGGTGTATCGACACTGTGAGCGGCCCCCAAACCGAGAGGAGGCTCAGAAAGAAA